ATAGTCAACAATTAAACGCGATCAGATTCGAAAAGATGGTGTCGGATAAACCATCTCCAGCCGACCTTTTCCACGAACTTAACGAAGCTCCATTTACACCTGGAGACAGGTGGATGGCCAATTGGAAAACGGTGATGTAAGATCTATCCAATTGACAAGGAGTCGATCGCAAAAATCCTATAAAAACGCAAAATTCAAGGACAGCGGGACTTTTTTACTTGATTTCTACTTCCACCAAGACTTCCACCTATACTTCTGTTGTATTCGTGTATCTTCATCTTTCGTGCATCGACTTTCGAGACATCGAACTTTTTTTTCTCCTCAACACTGTCCAGGGGCCCCTACGACGACGCACCGGATCACCGCCGGAATTCTCAACAACGCAAGACCAGCACCAAAGCCTAAAAATTGTGTAAGCATATTCGTCCGAAATAAACGGTTTACCTTTGTAAACACTTGTCTTTGCTGCCTTTACAAACCGCCACCCACATATGCTAAGACCTTAGACCATCCCGACGGTAGGGAATAAAAATCCCCCCCAATCGGCGTTCTTACATCCTGATGTTGATCGAATGCTATATACAGAATTTTGAAACCTGGCAAGGCTGAAGATGATAAAACATAAGTTAGTAGGATGACGAACTCTATTGGCTTGCTTCCAGATATTTCATGTAATACTACATAATATGCAAAATATCATGCTGGTGCATACTAATATTAAATATTGCTTTTAAAACATTGATCGTATGATAATTTTGACTGTAATGAATAAATGAAGTGTGCAATACCATAATGTTGTAAATGCCAAGAAACACTTTTTACTAGTCAATGAATTCCTTCAAGTCTCGAAAAAATTTATTTTGATTTTAGCATAAAATGGTAAATTCCTCACTAGGTTACAAATAACAAAATGACATAAACATAAGCCGTAATGTTTTAAGCACCAAAGTGCAAGTCGTGACTTTTGGCACTTAAAATGTTACAGCTTGCATGTAAATTCAACTTCAAAATACAGCCACCTACAGTGACACTTTCACCACAATATTTTTTTGCGGCAGAAAACATTGAATTTAGAATTCATTTCTTCAATAAAACATATTCAGGAAAAAATGGCATTTACAACATTAGGGCATTGCACTCTTCAAATATATTCAGAAATGTATACTGTAAACATAATAAAATATTTTACAAAAATGTATTTATTGTTGTTTGAATACATTAACTTCTTGTAACTGAGTGTTTGACAATATAGGATGCAAGTTACATTTGTTAACTAACTTCTTTGGGTTTTATCTCAAAAATTAAGTGCATGTTAGATTCAATGGCACATTAGAATTAAGAAAACACAATATTAGAAAAACATTTTCATTGAATTATTGATCACAAGATGAAAAGATTCAAGGAAAACATATAGTAATATAGTAGAGCATCAATTATCTAAAAAAACTAATTACTGTAACTGAAATCAATTTGAGAGAGTTCTACTTCCAGAAATTGCAATTTTTACATAATAATGATTGGTGAATCACTCTTATATAGACCAGATATTAAGTTATTTTAGTATTAATACTAACATTAAGTTTCATTAACTATAGTACAAATAAAAAAAGCATGATTAATGAGTCACAATCCAATGCATCAAATGTTTCACTGTTTATAGGTACAGTGAAGCATTTGATGCATTTGAAACAGTATTGACAGACTTAGAAATGCAACCTAAAGCAAATTTTTCAATTCTCGTAATGATCAAGCAAGCCAAGGATTTAGCAAAGTTAAAAAGAAAAACATAATGCAAAACAAAGCAAAATTGATTACTTCTTTCAAAAAAGAATTATAATAATTTTTAATTTAAGATATTTATCTTTTTATTCTTTCTCTACCAAGTGTGATTGGTTATCTAAAATTGTCCAACCCTAATTATTTTGGATAATCGACTCTCTACTACTATTGAGAATTAATTACTTTTAATACAGAATAAAATTTTTATAAATAATAATCAATTTATATTAAAATAATTTTTAATATAAGTTGTATATTTAATTTTAAAAATTTAATAATACATACTTAGCTTGAGCTTCTGCTTGCATAAAAATAAATTCCCATTTGCGTGAAAACATTTTTTGTAAACGTGCCAAATTCTCGGCTTCATAATCGGCAAGTTCCAATCTAGTTTTATTTTGCATGGTCCGTTTACATAAGTACACAGCTAAATATATATAATTTTAATTTTATTATATAATAAAATTTGATGGAATAATAATAATAAATATATTTAAAACTTGAATATTTTCATTAAGGTTTAACTTTAAGTGATAATTTAAAATATAATACCAATGTTTTTATATTTATAAAAAGCAAAACTTCAAATTTTTCTTTACGTATAATGTTAACTTAAAGCATAACAAACCGAATAAAATTAATATTGCTGATTAATTTTTAATTCGGTAAATCAAAGCTAATGTATCATTTGTGTTACTCTTTAATGTACAGTTAAGTCTGCTTAAAAGACTACTGTCAGGATTGCTCTCTTATCTGAAGTAATTAGATTGTTTTAATTAGATCAGGGAGTTGTTTATAGTATTCAAATCTCTTCACTGTTTCATGTCTTAGGAGCTTTATATAACTTATAATGCACTTGGAAACATTAAAATTCATTAACACATAATTTTGCTGTAGCTTACATATTGGTTTCTATTTTTACATCATCAATTTTATTGTTTTATCAAAAAATCAGTAAACACAGTATATTATCAATCAAATGACTTTTGCTTTTTCCCAACAAATACAGTAGAAGGTCTAGTTGAAAAGATGTGAATACCCTTGGCTCCAAAATTTCTGAATTTTCACTACTGAGAGATACAGACAAATAATTATTCTTGTATTTACTTTCCATGAAATTTTATTACAGTAATTTACAAATATGGAACTGAACTACTTGCACTATCATAACTATTCATACAATAAACAACCTGAACAAATTTAATTTACTTAAAGAAGTTCTTTTGGATATAATTATTCACAACTTTCTTTTCAATCATCTTTGATCTTGTAAAATGCATTGTAGTTGGTAAAATTTTCTTCTAAATATTTTCTCAACATGCTTAAATGAAACAATACACCTTTGTGAGAAACAGATTTTGTTGATTTGTGCACTGTTGCTGTGATGGTGAGTGGTGATGTACTGTAAGATTAATTATGGACCTTTATAAATCTTCCTTAGAATAGTGTTCTCTTATGCAGACTGCTATTTAAAAAAAAAAAAGCTGCTGACACAATGCTCATTTAAATAGACTACTCTACTATCCAGTGCTCTATTAACAGGAGTCCCACTAAATATTGGGGAAAAATTCAGGAACTGTGCTCTCTCAAGTGGACTGTTCCTTAATTCAATACTCTGTTAAGTGGACTCAACTGTAAACACAGACATAATAGATTGAAATTATATAATCTATTAAATTTTGTTTCTTTTAAGAAACAAATTATTTGATAATGTGTTTTCTAACTTAGTTAATTTAACTTAATTGAATATATAAAAATGTTTCCTTTGAAATATATGATGCAACATTAATTGTGAAAAAAAGATGATAAAAATTGTTAAACTTAAATGTTTATGTTGTCAAATGAAATTGATTCAAAATATTTATTAAGTAACTTCAAACTGAAGAGAGAGAAATTTATTTTATTTTCTAAAAATTTTATATCCCACTGTATCTAAACAATGGCATTTCCATTTTGCACATGCATCTCCCGCCTTCTTAACTGTCTCCATTATAAAATAAAATAAAATAAAAAATTGTCAATACAGAATTTGACAATAGATGTGAACACCCAAGCACAAGCTGAAGAAGCTCAAAAGTACTATTAAAATCTATTTCTTTGCCCCAATAAACAGAAATGAATGTGTTTATAAAATTTGGAAGTTAATATTATGCTAAAAAAATCTTACCTTTGAACTCTTTATTGGTTTATTCATTCGACATGCTTTTTTAATATCAATTTCAGTTGTATTAACACAACCAGGCTAAAAAAAAATTTGGTTTTTATTAATACCACGTAATTTTTATCTATGTTTTACTAATTAATTTTTCATTCAATGTGTAAATGTTTTAAAAAATCAGATAAATCCTGACTTTTATTTTACAGAACTATATCTAATCTATCACTATTAGAAAATATAATTGAAATTTCTAATATGAAAAATAAATTTGGTGTGTTTATTTTTATTAAAGAAATTTCAAAATTATTCTCTATACTTTCTTAAAAATATCTTTCATTAGGGATCATCCATAAAATACATCAGTCTTCACAGATGACATCTGATATCAAATGTTGTCATGTCATATTTG